TGTCCAAGAGAGGTTTTGATCGATGATAACACCCAAGAACTTCATCTCCGTCTCAGGCTTCGTCCCCGAAACCCATCCCCGATTGTGGGCCTGAAGCATTTAAATCAAATTGGATTACTGTAAGTTTTTGCTCTCTTGCATCTTATTTGATTAGACTAATTAGTGCGCTTACAGCTTTAAAGTCAGGTGGTAAGAAAAAAACAGTTGAGGCCTGAGACGCAGCCGAAGTCGAGTATTGGAAAACAGCTCCACCTGCGCGCGCCGCACACGCTTGACAGCCACAGTTGCGTAACTATCGCGGGCCCCCCTTTTGATTTCATTATAAAGTCTTCATAAATGGAGATCAGTGGAGACCCCAGCAAGGAGGTCTCCGTTGTGGATGCGGGCCTGGTCAGAGAGGTAGACTAACAGACCTTATGTCCCAGTCACGTACCAACACTCCGCACCCAGCCCTCACCTTATTTTTTGTGTGCTGGTTTGGAGATATAAGAATGAAACAGGTAAAGACCTCCTTACGTTGTCTTTTGATAGATGTCTGCTTCTGTAAAAGTAAGCTTTTTTCAAAGAAAATAAAGATCATTTTGAAGATGTTCGTTGGATCAGACTATGGCTCAATCCGATCCGACAGTTCCAGGCAGAAATCTTGATCTGATCTGAATCCAACAAAATCCTAACTTAAACAATGGCACGAACTTGATGCAAGATCATTATAGCTTGGACGGCACTTAAAAAAATCTAAACACAAATTGTCCGCGAAGTTTAGGCCGAGACTTCATCGGAGTTAGATTTAGACTTTATGTTTCTGTTTCTTGAACGGGCAAAAATAAAGCTTAGTACTTTAACCTGCAATATTCATATAAACTCAGCTGATGTAACAGAAAATAAATAACAGGACAACCCCTAACTAAAAACCGTACTTAGTTTGGGAACATAAACAAATATGCTGGATTGTGGTAGCGCCTCGCCAAACACCCTTTCTGCAGGACACAAGGGGATAAAAACTTATGTACAGCAAGGGATGATTTTGAATGAAAGAGGGTTTTAGTTTCTGTGTGCTGAGGAAAAAAAAATTCAACACAAGCCCAGACTGGAAAATGTTCACCACAAGCCTGCCCTCTGCCACGTTTAACACAAATTTACTAGCGATGGCAGGCGAGTTCAGGCATTTTTTTAAAGTCGAAAACAATTTTGTCAGATTCCGGGAAAGACGATCCATCCGATTCAATATTTTACATCATCAATCCGAATCCGATTCTAATCCTACTAAACCACGTCCAATCCGATCCGACCCGAGGTCGAATTCAGATTGGATCAGATTGCAGTGCACATTTTCTAAGTAGAAATCCTTTACACAATTAAATTAAATAATGAGTCCTTCTTCAGAATATAAGTTTTTTCAGTCGCTTCATCCACGCAAGTATAAGGGCCGCTGATGTGAAATTCTGAAGAATGCTAAAGAGTCGACGTGTTCATTGTAAAAATTTATCCTTCCTCATCCCATCAACACCATCAGCAAATTAAACATACAGGTTAGAAACGCTAAATAAAAGTGGATGTTGAGGAATGCAATTGTAATAATTTCACGAGATTTTCAGTAAGGGTAATTTTGAACCCTCTGTGCACTTTGACCCTGTAAAATAAAAGACCCTGTGTTTGCGTAGATCAGGCTTTTTTTTACTGTTTTGTATACTACTATCATCCATAGGTTTATGCTTTAACAGGGGTATTGGCTGTGTACTGTAAATCTTGAAACTATCCATTAAGTTCTCCAACGCTCACAATTTAAAAAATCCAAATATGAAAAGAAATGAAACTGTCTAACCTGCTTTTTGAATCTTTTCTTTATTTGCAAATTTACAAACAGAATCATCTTAACCCACTGCACTGAATGGAACCTCAATAAATAGTCTTTAATTAACAGCCACTTCATATTTCATTAGTCTTCTTGAGATCCAGATACTATCATTGACAATCAAACCTTCGAATGAACTCTGCTTTAGGTGTGGGACCATCGGGCTCTAGGTGATCCGGTTGCTATGAAGGATCTGATTTGCTCTCACGTGAATGGAATTTACCAGTAAATTCTGTATTTGTCCACTACGACGTATCTGATCTAAACTTATCCATGAAGATTGCTTAGAGGATGATTAAACAGCTCTAGAAGTTCTTTCGCAATACACATCCTGTAAATAAAGTGGAATTTCCCAGACTGAAATCTTTCGTGGAAAGGGGACATCAAGTACTGTCGTCACGTTGTTTGGACTAGTTCAGTCGTCATGGATGCAAAACAAACCAGTAAACCGGTGAGAATCGTGAGCAGACAGAAATGCACTGTACTTTTGTGTCACATCTGCGACATTTTTGACTAGAGACTGCGCCGTTTTTGTTTTAGAAGACCTTGATGACTTCCGGTACCCTGGACATTTGGGGTTGGGCAACGGAGACAGAGTGAACATTCGTCTGTTCGTTTGACTTAAAACTTACCTTGAATACGCTGCATTTTCTCTGCTTTTTCAGCGCAAAAAGCGTCACTGACATCTCAAAAACGTTTCGTTAATTTCACCTGGTCACAGAGGTTGGATTTTCTTAGAAATATAAGAGTTTTGTTGCAACGCTATCGCAAGAGCTCCACGGGAGCAGCACACCGCCATAGTTTTTGCCTACCATAATCAAATACAAGCCTTTTCCCTATTGGCGGGGATACTGAATAATATCATATCGCCAGCCAATTGCATTGACCGTCTCAAATCGAATTTTACTAACTTCAGCCTTTATTTTTGCAGTCTAAATTATTCTCATAGATAAATAAGGCTAAACTTTGTTGCTTTTAAATTATGGTTTTAATTAAAAATAAACACAACACTCTGGTAGCATTACATTGATTGTTTTCGACGATCAGTAATTGGATAATTCAAATACTGTCAGAGGTCTTGGACCAACGAAATATTGGAGGAAAAAAATAAAAACGCCATCAAATCACAACTCCATAACGACAATGAAACAGTTAATGACAAATCTTGTCGGTATGTATGTATGTTGCACTTTTTTTCTAATTACGTTTACATGTCGGTGTTAATATTAAAACGCGCAAATTTAAGCTGAAGCAGTTTGAATATTTGATTCTTTTACGATGAGACAAACAAACGAATCTTTGAGAATTATAAACATAAATTTAATTACACGTGTAATCACTTATTTTTCGGGAATTGTGAAAAAAATGAACATAAGTGAGCATACAAAACAGTTTATTTAATATGTGCCACGTCACTCCACTTCACATGACCTTTCTTCCGATGACCCGATGCACGTGACTAATATCTTTGTTCTGATTGGATACGGTTGTGGTAGGTAATACAACCGAATACAAAATGCTCAAAAGTAGTTTCAAAAATCTAAAATAATCGGACAGTGTTCAGTCGCAAGTACTTTTAATTAAAAGGTAAGTACACGTGTTTTTATTTGCAGTACATGTACTTGTTTAAGTTCGTGAACGCTAGTCTCACATATGCAACTCCAATAATTTACCTGAGATTTTACGTAGCATAGGCCAATAACATCCAACTTCAACGAGCTGAAATAAACTACACTTAAAATGTTTCTAAAAGTTGTTTCCAAATTCGTTGCAATCGGAATAGTGCAATCTTTGTTGAAATATACTGAATAATCAAATTGTATGGTAGCGAAATGGATTTTTTTAAACAAAACGTGTCGGCTATTTTCGTAAACCGTCTTGTCTTAGTAATAATGAATTCCTTTCTCCTGTCGTTATTTCCTACAAATTATGTTACATCTATTGCTTTTTATTTCTGTTACTTTTGAAAGAATACTTTATATCCATTCAGCAATCAACACATCACTAATGTCACACTGGATATCTCGACAGTAGTTTGGCGTTTTCGATCAACAAGGGGCACATCTCATTCTCAGCGTGGATTTGGACAAGGCTACGGGGCAATTCCACAGTTTTCCCGACCTCTTTTATAAACACCGGTATGTGCTTGCGTGCAGTATCATAAGCCATAATTTGATTTTGAAGATTTAGAAATACTAAAAGCTTCTGTAGGTCTGTTATTATGGTTGTAAAAAAAGAAAAAATAGAACTCGAACTTTATGATCTAGAGTTTTTCGCTTGTTGGGATGGGTATACGGTACAATGGTATATGAATAAATGGCTTGAACAAGAAATGGACCAGTTTGTTTCGAACTCAGATAATTAAATCAGCTCTTTTTGCAAGGCAGTTTTCACATAAAATACTGGCCTGCACATCCAGTCCCTGACAACACTTCCAGGGAATAATTTCAATCGTTTCTTCCTTCCAGGCACAGACTTACAAGTGCAGTAAACAGTTCTCTTCGAAGAACTTAACAGTTTCAGTTTTGCAGTGGTACTTGTTTCCCGTGTATAATGTTTCATTTGCCAGGCTAGTATGCAAGTCTTGCTTTCACTCCCATCATAACATAAATCAGTTACGCCTATTTTATTAGTTTTGTTTTCCTTGCTGTTTACCGCTCGACTCTTTGCATCTGTGAAAATGATTGAGTCATTCTTTCAAACAGCACCTTCACATTTTCACACGATTCTGAAATGTTCACTTTATACTGCATCGCCAGCCTCCAGTACTGCCTCGAATCCAATTTTGAAAAAAAAAATCACTTAAAAGCAGACGGAACAGCTCATTTTACGAAAACTGTAGGGCGAAATATTTTAATTGGAAATTGACTTACATGTGAATACAGGCATATTAAACTTTCTGTACGGGTGTGGATAATCATGCACATAATACTATTCGTTTCGCCTATTTTACATTAAAAAAAACCTCCCAAAATAAGGTCTTAACATGGGTTTTGCCGTGCATGTATATAAATCTAAACTAGGGTGGGCGGTTATTTGTTCAGAGTTTTCTGTTCATGACAAAGCCTTTGCGTGGGAAATTTCAAATTCACGATGTTGTGGTTAAATAAAAGGAGACAGGGCAATTAAAAAAACAAGGTATACGCACCTAGGTAGGTACAGACAAAGACTGTATAGCAACTGTTGATGCAGTGGGAGTGGTGGGCCAGCCAGGCTCTCTGTTCTCAAAATCGATGGGCACATCAACTAGACCGCTTATTAAATCCCTGCTGAATCCATTGGATGAAAGAAACCCCGTTTGAGACGCTGCGTTGATGTGGAGGACCCTCACAACATTCCATATTTTGAAGGAGATGTAGAGTAGGACGGGATGTCTTGAACTGCCACGCCTCAATCACTTTGGAGCCATGATTAACTCCATTATGAGTCAGTTGGAGCCTAGGGATCCAGTCCATACCTAAGAGCAATATTCCTGTGCCACTTCTAGTCATTTTATCTCGGTCGTCTTGTTCCTTGCTTCTGATTAATCTCCGCTGATGTACTGCATTCTTACAAATCCTCTTGCTGCACTTTTCCATCTGTTTCATTTTCCATTTAGTTTCAAGTTCGTGACAGTGAGGCTTTCTCTCACATAGATGATCGTTGCACGTTTCCTTGATGGATAACAGCAGTGGTCTACTCACAGGATCTGCAATCTTCCAGTCTGAGCTTTCTTGCCCTTTCCTATTTATCCCTCCTGACACGCAGCGCCAAGGGCCCATGGGCCAATCCAAGATTTTTCGTGGTGGCATCGCTAGTCAATTATTACATTTATTTGGCGAAGACTCTGAGTTCAGCTCCGTCAAACTCTCAAAGATCAGGCAACCGTTTCAGCACAGTGGTAGGAAAAATTCCACAGGAGACTAACTTCCTCTTTATATTGTTGCTTCATCTTGATTCCAAAATCATCTCTTAGCAACCCGCATTAAAGCTGAAGTCAAGCTCCAAAAAAGCATCTGCCTCACACACATCTTAAAGATGAATTTACTGAACAAAAAAGATAGATGTGCATTCATTGTGTGAACCTTAGCATCCGCCTTTTCCAGGTCATTCTTTTCCTTAAAACCAGGATGCAGAAGTCTATAGCCATATTTGGTTGTTAAATTAATATTCATACCTTTGACGTCTGGAGTTATTAGATTTGAGTGATAACAACGGGACATTAAACGGTACTACACCACGCATACCCCCGATGGGCCTTTTCCAGAAAAGATGTAATTCACATGGGCTTAAAAGGGATTTCGCGTTGTCTCAACCAGATATTCCTAAAGTTAAAATAAAATCTTCATTTGAAAGATGGGTGCAGACTCCTGAGTAGATAATGCATTAATTTTTTTTCTCTGAATAAGTGTTACGCTGACGTCATATATACGACAAAGAACTTCAAAATAAGTAAATAAAAAGTAGTTTAGAAAATTATAACTAAATAGCTTTAAAAGCATTCTCCTGAATCACACAGGTGCCCTTTAAAGTATTCTAATCAATCGGATGTAAGTGGGGATTTCCCTCAAAAATCCAGATGAAAAGGCAATCCTTCTGGCTATTATTCCGCCAGTATCCTAATGGCGTAAAGCACAAACATTATTTTATCCAATCACAGCTTCCTCCTTAACAAAAGCCCGCCCATTTCCCCCAAATTTTATTCCAGACCTACGACGCCTTTCAATGCAGCATAGTTACAATCTACATTACCATTAGCGTTCCGCTTGAGTGACTAATTAAATACGGGCTGTATACACGTATAATATATACTGCATAGACACCTTTATCCCCGGCTGAGGAATTTACAAAAAGGGAAGAAAATAACCATTTCCCATGAGGGAATGTATGTAGGCCTATGGATCATTTACACCCCCAAAACAGATCGTTGTTGCCAATACAAGTGTCATACTTGATGATCATTGTTTACTCACTCGCACTGACCTTTCCATATTTGGAACCGATGTAACCAACCCTCATTCTTGGACCACTTTTATTGTTAGTATAATTTGGGGAATTCCCCCTTACTTCCCCGGTAACGCGCACGGAACAGCACTGTTAAGTGTTTACACAACAGTGAGTTGACTCTCCTTCAATCGTTGAATGAAATGACCTTATCGATGAGTTAGAGGATCATTATGGAGGACCCTGACCCCTCCCCAAAACAGTTACGGGAGGGGTAGCCTTGTCTGGGGCGGTCTCTTTAGTGGCTTTTGTCCAAGGGAGAATACTAAGCCATATGCAATCAAAATACTATACGACGAACAAGCCAGATAGCTGTCACAGCAAACCAAACCCGTCACGGTACTACGGCAACTACTGAAACCCGCAGATCAAGTTGAGTAGTACGTCCAAGCACATAAATAGATGTATAAACCGACCACTCCTGCGCATACCCAACCGTACTGTGTCATGCGCCAGCCTGAGCCTAGTGGAGCCGGGATGGCCAGGACCGGCCTCAAGCCGTAGATTTCGCGTCGCTCCACGAACAACACGAGACATGCTCTCGCTTGTCCGAGATTGCGGAGAGTATAACTTAGAGCCCAACACTTCCATGGTAGAGGCTCGGAGAGGATGAAAATAAATCGAATGCTGGCGAAAAACAAGCGCAACTCAAACAAAGGCAGATCCAGAACCGAATTTTCGGGGAGGAACTTGTTTTGGGGGTCACAAAATTTCCAAATTTTTCATGTAACCCTTTATGGTTTTTCTGAGGGTAGGCCTCTGCTAAGGCTGCCTTTTAAAACACTTTTTTAATAAAAGGGGCCTAGACCAAAACTTTGCCTTTCTGTCATAATCATCGCTATTTTCAATAATGATTATTGCCTTCATTTGGGGTCTTTTTTGCGGGGAGGGGGGGCACGGCTTCAGTTGCTTAAACTTACTCAATTGTCATTAGAACCATGGATTAATAAGAACAGCAAACTCCAGTCCTTAAGACTTACACATGTACCTGTTTAGTGAAAGCGTTTCTTTCTTCATCATTTTGCGAGCTCGGATGAGTACATGTATACCCAAACTCTCTCTGGAAAGTTATTGTCCAAATAAAAAGTCTTTATATGGCAGTTTTTAAGTCAATAACAACTTAAATGGTTTGTACTGATTGTATTTGTCACGAACAGCTTTTGAAATCAGTTAGCACTGGAAGTCTAGCCGGATCTGGGCGGGCATTACAACACAACTTGGACATTGAACCCTCGTTTGACTACAAAAAATGCTAACACTTGAGGGCGGGCTTCTGACATGCAAGATGGCGACTTCCTTGGAATGCATACTCGTGGGAGCATGTGATGAAGAAATTCCGCCTTCATACCGCACAACTTGGCAATGTAACAAGCTTGGCGGAAATCCAGTAGGTTCTTTTTAAAAACTTTGTTCCCAGAGTTCTTTTCAATCATTATGTGGGCCTGGGCTTAAACACCTGTGTTTTGTCACCTTTTTCATGTTTTTGCCTTGGGACCCTGGAGACCCGTAAACATGGTAAACAGGGCCTGACCATGGAGGAAGGAACGAATATATGGGCTACTCCTCCGTCATATACTGGGCCCTGCCTCGACTCATAGGGATTTCTTTTGAAAAAGTTATCCGGGACATGCGGGGGCATAACTAAACATCCGCTTGATTTTATGAGCTGAAATTGCACCGGTATGTTCACAAGGCATGCTAGGCCTAGGCCTACTTACGGTCATGACGATGTAAGCCATCCACTAGGTTGCTAATTGTAGAAAACTCGCCTTTTCCTCATTTGAGGAAAAAAAGTTGCCTTTTTTTGACGTTTTCCCACTCCGGACGAAGTAACAAAACAGCCTTCACAATTTGTGCAAAGTGGCACTTGCACAAATTGCGACGGCTGTTTTGTCACTTTCATGTCATGTTACAGAGAGCGTGCCGCGCTACCATTGATTTGCTGCAAATATTGTGTGACTGGACGGGGAACCAGCCAAGGGCATTGCCTATTAGGTGCAACACAAAACAGCTGTAATTTTCTACGAGCACTCAGATCGACAGGTATTCTCGCAGATCTGAACGAGATCCGTAGGTGCTGAAGTCTGGGTGCAAACTAGACAGGCTCTCGTACAGGGTACCATTACTTGGTCTTCCTCAGAATACACTACAGTGCCTACAACTATTACAGAACGCTACCGCACATCTCACCGGCTCCAAAAGATCAGATAACATTACTCCCATCCTTTACAGCTTACACTGGTTACCGTCAAGTACAGAATTCAGTTCAAGATAATCCTTACTTTAAAGGCACTGCATGGCTTCGCTCGTCTCTATATAAGGAACATGCTCCAATTACGCTCTTCCAGACTGGGCCTGAGATCAACACAAAATACTTCCTATGTTCCTCGAACCTGGTTGGCCAGTTATGGGGATAGAGCCTTTTCCAGCTCAGCTTCTCGCCTTTGGAACTCTCTTTCAGGCGACCTAAGAGATATCCAGAACATCAGACTCTTCCAACAGCAGCTCAAGACTCATCTCTTCACACTTGCCTTTCCACCTTCAACATTCACTTGAGATTTTTGGTTGTTCCATCTGGACTGGCGCCTTTGAATGCTCCGCAGATTAAGAGCGCCTTATAAATGCTGTTTGTTATTATTACTATTATTGCTTAACCATACGAAGGAGTCTGTGTAATGTACAAGTCAGGTGAAAATTCATATGGAGTGGGAAAACGATAAAAAAGGCAACATTTTTTCCTCCAAACGAGGAAAAGGCAAGTTTTCTACAATAAGCAACCTAGCGGATTTTTTACAGCGTAAGTAGTGAACATATCGGTGCAATTTCAGCTCATAAAATTAAGCGGATGTTACGTGTACCTGTATAATGAGTCGTCATTGTTGTGCACGTATCTTCTTTTCATTATTCAGTAGGCCTGTTTATTTTCAACAACCTCCTTCCATGATGTAACTGCAGTCTACAGGTACACTGTACATGTATGTACCTGTAGCTGTAGTTATACTTGTGTTGTGATACATGTAATACATGCTGCGCGCGATGAATATGAAAAGCATGCGGTAAGAATTCATGGCAGATTAACAGCGAACATGCAGTATACTGCATTCACTAGTGCATGACACTGCCAAATTCTCACTACTTTAAAATGTGCTGATGTACATGTATGTTCAGTCCAATAGTTTGCATGCCAGCCGCCTAGTAGCCATGCCCTTATGTTATGTACATGTAAGGCCAATGAGGTCATCAAGTGGCCAAACAAAATAATTTTTGATTGGATGACATGTTCCGCATAGTCGGAGGCAAGTCGACAGAAATTACACTGCCGTCGGGCAAACACGTACACTCAGCCTACGCTTTTGCACCTACATTGTACATGCACATGTACGTGTATAGTTTAGCCATACGCAGTGCATACCCAGAGCAGTGCGTATTCATGTATCAGAGAATTTAATCATTCATGTAGTAGGTATGTGTAGATATGTACATTTTATACCTTTGTACTGCTGCTTTTATGATTTGGGATTTGACATTTATTTTTGATAGCATTTTTGTGAAAATAACGAAATTTTTGTAAATACTGAATTTTTTTCGTGTTTTGGAGAATGCGGGCGGTGGACGCAAACCTAAAACTTTTAGTCTCGTGGCCTTATGAGACGCAGCCTCTAAAGACACACTCCTGACCCAGTTGTCCTATCAGTCAAAATCAGTCAAATACATGTATGTGTCTGTGTACAGGGGGAAATCAAGTGGAAGGAATTTTTGACTGTTTTTGACGGTTACAGCAAAAGGAGGGTTTTAAATGTTTGCCTCCAGCACCTTGCTAGACCGCAAGAGCGATATTTTTACTTCAAACTTCACTAGGGGTTAGTGAAATTTCATTTAGTGCTTATAAATCATTGAGTCAGGTTCGTACAGTGCTCCTTTCCTGACCTTTCACATCAGGGGCTTGGGTTCGATTCCCGGCTTGGCAGGCTTGGTCCACAAGTGCACGACTGCATGTACAACTCTCCTAAAAACATGAAAAATGCACCCCAAAATGGAAAATTATTTTCTGACAAACTTGCAGTTGGGTACTGTATGTCATAAAGTGGACATGGTGGAGGTCAATGTGTAAACTTAAAAAATTAAAGAAAATTTTAAACTTGAATGTTGGATTTTCACCTTATTGTTGGAGAATTTCTGCCCAATTTTCGGATGCCCCAGTTTGGAATTTCCAACTAAATTTTGTGACAGTGAAATTGCTCACAAAGATTCAACAGCATGTCTTGTAACATAGCACTAAGGTTTGCCCCCAATCACTCTGCATGAGAAAAGTCGAGGTCAACAGTAAAGTGCACCATGTTAGGGGACAAGATACAATATCATCAGTGTACATGTAGTATGGTAAAATATTTCTTTGTTGAATGTCGAGTCTATTTCTCTGCCAGGCAGTTTGTATCGGCCACATTATTTCCATCCAGAACATTGGCAGTAAACTGAGCACACTGAGCAGTTCATTTCCTTTTACCATGTCATGCTACACAGGACTGGATGCATCCAAATTCCAGCTGTCCATCGTGCAGTGCTTGTGGTGATCCGCTCTATCTAGTCACACAGATATACTGCCCTCTAGAGGCATCATCATACCACAGGACTCTCTACATCTTCTCCTGCGTGAGGAAAGCCTGTGTAAACAAGAGAGAAAGGTGATCATGATATTACAGAGTTATGTCATGAGTAGAATTCCTATTTCTTTCTCAATGGAATTGTCTTCAGGAAGCTCATTGTTGACGGTTCCTCAGAAATACTTCTGTTGCTATTGTATTTTGCAGTTGGAAGGTGCTTCGAAGTCAGCTTCTCGTTCCACAGAGTGAAGTTGTCAAGCAATCCACTAGAAATGTTACAAAAGTTGTTACTAGGACAACGGATGAGTGGTGTGAAGATGCAGATGACTGGGGCAGTGAATCTGATGAGGAAAGTATGCCTATCAACGAACAAGTCTGTCCAGGAGCATCAAATAGAGGAGGGAATGCAGAAACATCAGTGGGATGTCATCACAGTCGTATGGATGGCTTTGACCTGTCAAGTGGTGTCGTTACTATGGAAACACCTGCTTCACTGAATGCAAGTTCAGCACTTAATGGTGACAAGCGGAAAAAAGCAACTGGTGAAGCGATTTGTGAGAATCATTCTTTGTCAGAACACAACGAACATTGTTCCCTTCCTGTTCAAGATTCAAAGATGGACCTACTACAGGAATATTCAGATGATGGTGATCCCAGTGATGGCTTGGCAAAATTATCAATCAGTAGCCAATGTTCTGCAGAAGTAACTCCAACAGGCTGTAACTCAGTTTTGTCTAGTTCCCAACCTCCGTCATTCAAAGACTACTTTGTGAGTGTTTTTGATGAGCCGCTACCATGCTCGGCATCCGTTACTGAACTTACCAATCATGAGAGAGAGTTGATAGATGAGTACCAGCAGAGGGAGGGAGTGGACCTAGTGGAATGGCAGAAGGAAAGCTCACAAACGAAGAGGCAAGTTTGAACTTCTAAAGGATTGAAAGCAAAATGACACTATGTAAAGTAGCAAGGACCTTAAAAGGAAATAACAGTGTATAATTTATGATGGTGTATTCAGCTACCTCTCCGATTTTCAGAGTAAAACAAACTGGTTGGAGTGGAAGATCTCCGGAAGGTGAAGGTCTCTGGTAACCCTAAAATCCACTTGTCAGGGTGTTTTCCATGTTGATTGGCGCTGATCCATTGTATTCATTGTCTGTACCATACACTGTACATGTTCTCGATTATATCGGTGCCTTTGAATGACGGATACTGTATTGTTCTCTGGTACACGTATTATGACCACTTTTCCCAGGCAAATCATTGTCCAGCTTTAATCCTTTTGTCAGCAGACAGTGTGGCAAATATTTATCCGGGCCAGCAGATCTTGGCAAATACATAAGTAACACTGAGAAAAATGAGGAGAGAAATGAATGACATCCTTTAGTCATGTACCCGTATTCGCTCTGAGACAACTTACTTTTCTTGTTTACTTTCCTTGTAACAGAGCTGCCTCTTGTGAGGAGAGCTATGAGAAGACCACAGCCAAACATGGAGACAAAGTCTTCCTCAGCTTTGCAAAAAAGCTTCAACTTTGCCCTGAGCAGTGCATTCGGTAGGTCAAAGGTCAGACACTTTGTACATGCTACTATATACAGTACATGTATGTACCATACCCTTGGGGTTGTTCATAGCCATTTGGTAATTTTGTTCCTGAGTGAAGGCACATTAAAGTTTAGCAGTGTGAGTAAAGTTAGAGAGCCGAGCTAGGTTACACTGTTACAGAATTGTACATGTTATTCTTCACTGGTGAATCACACCTCACTTGTGGTTATTCCACGTGGATAGATATAGCTGGTGTGGGAGTCCCCTGTACCTGACATCGCCAAATGAGGGCGCTGTGATCCCACCATGTCCGTACTGCGGACGCCAACGTGTCTTTGAGGTACAGCTCATGCCTCCACTCATCAACACTTTGCATGATGCTGATAGACCAGGTAGTCACTTCAGTTTCATTGTCGTGGATCTTGAACAATCCAAAATGAAGAGCAAGATAATACTTCATCATCAGTCCTGACAAGAAAATCCATGTTGAAGGGGGGGTCAATTTTTGGAAACACGGAACATTATTTCAACTTTATTGGTTTGTAATATCCTTACCTAAGCTCTAAACTTTAGTGATTTTTGTTGCGGTTTTGAAAACTGGACAAATAGTTAACACCCAGTTTCACCATTTTGCTGTTAACCAGTTTTCATGTGTTCTCTTTTTTGACAGATGTTCAAATTGATTTTGGTGTTGTCATCATCTACACCTGCAAGGCAAGCTGTTGGGACGACCCTTGCCAGCCTGGCAAATCCAACCTGAGGGAAGAACATGTGGTAATCCAGGCAGATCCCGACAGTGCATTGATTGCCCATGCTACATCATCACTGGTACTACCCTAATGGAGTTAGTTGCATGTATAATGTTCCCTCTAGTCCATTGAGCCAATAGTCTGTCCACTAGATCTGGTTAATATACAAAATCACTTAATTTGAGTCAAGTTCAAATTAAGTCACTTTTCAAATCTATGAAAAGCAGTATTTTGACAGGTCATACCCAAGAAATCCGAGTTCCAGTTGGATTTTACTGGTTGATCTTATGATCCGAGAGTCTTCAGTTTCCATGGCAATCGGTAGCATAAAGCCGAGTCATAAAACTACTTTCATATAACTCCACTTAGATTTCAATTGACAAGTCTGCAACTCACGATACCCATCTCATATGTAAGTGGAGTACTGCTTATATTGCAAGAAGACATGCAACTGCATGCATACCTTATTTGGCTTCTTGGGCATAAGGAAAGAGTCTGGAGATCACATGCTTTATTTGAACAACATATTTCACAGAAAGAAATATTTATGCATGTTGTTAGTCCTATATGCAATAATAAATCTTTCATATGCATTTGGACTCTGTTGGTGTCGTTTTATTCAACCATTGAGATGGAAACTTTCATTTGTGTTGCTGTAAATGCAACCAGCTCTATAAAACTCGTGACATGAATTCCAAGACTGTGAAGTGAATTCATTCTGCAGTCTAAATGACCAGGTGTCTCTTAACCCCACAAATAGGCACATTCCTCAAAGCTAGACACAATAAGATTTTTGCTGCCTTGATGTGTTAAATGTTTTTGCTTTGTATGTCGGCCATTTCGTGTTCAGAGGAAGGTTTCAGTGGCAGCAGTCCAGGATCTCCAATTTTAGTGCCCTTTCCAAGTAAGTTATACCACAAATGTAAAACCAGTCAGATTTGGAGCCATTCCACGTCCTGGCTGGCATATGATGACTGTGAAGTGTGAAACAAGTGAAATAAAAATACATCACGCATATTTACCTTGGAAATGACCTGTGGTTTTTAATTGGTGCACCTTGTACAATTTCCTTTAAATCTTTGCTTAGTGTCCACTACATTTGCATTGTTGGATCCACAAAGTGACATGAGGAAAATCATAAGGTTTGCCAAGTCACATCAAAACACACATGTACGTGTACACACACTTGTTCCTTGTAAAAAATACAGCAATTTCAGTGTTTTCTAACAAAAATATCCCCACAGTGTACTACAACTCAAAATGTTTGGAGCAGGTTTGTCTGTACACCGTATGTGCAATTATCACAACAGGCATTTGAATATTTTTCCAAGTCAAGATACCTTGTGTGTGGTTTTGAACACCGAGCTTATGAACACAGTCAGGAAATTTTCCTGAAAGACAACATTTTAGGCATCAAAGTTCTCTCTGTTGTAGTTTAACATTTTTCCAAATGTGTAAAGTAAGAGCACTGCATTCCTAAACACAGCATCATTTATCAACATCTTTCTTTCAACATGGGGAGTCAGGTTGGCGTAGTGGTTCTTTCCTCGCCTTCCACCTCTGCGGCCTGGGTTCGAATCCCGGCCCGGTCCACATGTGGATTGGGTTTTCAGTCCCTACCTGATTCCATGGGTTTTACCCAGAATATTCCTCTGGGGTTTTCCTCCCACCTCTAAAACTGTAACTGCTTCTCAGTGTCTCCTCTTTACAGGTTTCTTTTGGCTTGCCAGCTACAGTGCCTAGGGTTCTTTTGAGGAATCCTTGATGTCATTACCAGAAAAAAATATATAATAATCTACCAACAAAAACTGACCACTAATCAGCAAAATAATTCCACAAAAATTGACAAATAACACTTCCAGAGCGAAATCTAAAACTGCAACCAAGCGGTTTCTTCAGATATTTACACACCAATAATTTATATTCAGAACAAAGTCCTGTCAAAAATGCTTTTCAACTTTCTGTACAATAAATGCTCTCATTAAAAAGTCCAGTTTCTCTCAAAGTCCAACTTGTGCAATTTGTTTGACATCCTCAATGTAATTGACCAAACAGTATTTACAGATAGATTTTAAATCCTGTGCAGGACTGTGGGAACAACAGAGGCCCACAAATATTACCTTTGGCACAACACACACTTTTATGAACAGGAATGATGCTATTGAGAACAGGACAGTAAAAACTTTACTTCAAAATATAATTCATCAAATTTCTGTCTGGAATGAGAATGTAAGTCTAATAGGTTTGGTCAAACAAAAAAATCAAGGAATACAGTAGTCTTTTTCAAGGTGTCTTCCATGACTAGAAACAATTTCAATTGAGCCTTAAGCTTTGATGCGGCTCAAGTTGAATTCTGCCACAGCCTTTTCTAACACGGACAAGTCTTCATATACATGTATGCTTCTTTTGCTTTTCAATAAGCTCGTGCATGTGCCACTTCTTAAAATTTAATCACCGATAGAAATTCATGTAACAGCAGCAATACCTGCACAAAAAGCTATGAGACATTTGCTTATCTTTGTGAGACAGAAAATGTTAACTAGACAAAACGTTTGGTTAAAAACGAATAAGTGAAAAAATATGGGCTTGGCCAGTCTCGGGAGAATGGGCACGCGGCTCGGGCATTAAGACCGACCAAACACATCTGTATTCCCATTCATAAATACAATTTCAGACAGTCAAAAGAAGTCAATCCATAATTTCCAACCACAGGGTTCTAGAATTTTACTTTCATTCTCCTGAGCATGCCCGTCTGTTTTATGGTATATTCCTTGTACAAGTTATCCAATAGAATCTTCTTATATGGACTTGGCACACGCGTGGCAAGCCGCATGCTCACAGACTCTTGACCAATCAGAATCAATTAAACCATCTTGTATACAGGTGTAAAGGCCTGATTTACGCAGCAGGCATTATCACTTCTCAGGGGACATAATCAAATGTTAATACACGGTCAAGTTGCACGTTGTTGACTAGGGAGACTGTCTGAGGATTTCTGAATATTTAATCAATGTTAGAATAGAATCAAAGTCCACAGTGCAAAATCATCCAAAACAAACCCTGCCCATCCTGTCTTGTCAAATATAATACTTCAGACTGTAAACAACTTGGTTTATTGTGGGAAAATACTTAAGAATTCAAACATACATGTAACTTGACCTCGGGTTTCAGAAATGATGAAACATGGGTCTGGTTTTTGTATACATGTATCCCCGTCTTGAATAGCTAAGCCTACATTTTTACAGAAAAATTGCACCAAAATACATTTTAACACTGGTTGAGAAAGAAATAAAAAATACTGCTCTATCAAATGCAAAGTTTTAATTTTGTGGATGGGAATGAGACTGAGGACTTTTATTTCAGTTGCTGGGTTTGTTAAGATCTCAATATGTTCCAATCACAGCACACTGGGATTTCAATTTTCAAAAGGTATAATCTAAAATCGAAATACCTAGCAAACACTCAGCTTGTCTGTAACCATTGTTGAATTCAGAATAGTTCTCACTGAACAACTCGCAACATTTCTTGGTTTTTTTCTTAACAATCCCATCTCTCCTAGTAAGGAAACTTTCAACACCTTGCCAGGACTTTGAAGTAATTTCACCCAGGAAGTTACCTTATAGCTTACTTTTGTTTGGGCTTTCTGCATTTGTTTCCAAGTCCTCTATCACTCAGTGATGATTTCTCCTTACTCGCAATACCTACTAGTATTTGAAAAGCTCCTCGAACCGTCAGCTTTAAGAAGTGAACTTAATATCTGACTATTCCTATCCAGTAACGATACTAAACTATGTCACTCCTTCACATCTCCTTCATCTGTTATCTCCAGGCATTTCAACAGCTCACTGCTTAACATTAAGTCACTGTCAGAATGATGTTCCTGTTCCTGGGTAGCATCACACTCTTCAATGCTGGAACAAGTCCTGCTCCTGTGGCCTGCAGTAATAAAAAACCACCGCACAAGAAATACAGGTGAATGTCAATAGAAAAAGAAGGTGAACAGAGTCCGACCCTATAAAAATATGAGCAGCGTAAAAAAAAAAGGCATTACCCACTTACAAGTTCTTTGTAATCACTGTTACTTCGGGGTTGAGCTGGAACGTGACTACCAATACCAAATGGTTTCTCAGTGAAAAGAAAAGCTTGCTTCAGTCTGTAAGAAAACTGCTTCAATGCCAGTGCTACATTTTGACTGCAACTACAATACTACACAGTGCATAGTGTGCATGTATTGTGAAACCTTGCTTCAAAGATGATACACGTACTGCCTACAAATGCATCCTGGTATTCTTATTTTTAACAACAGAGGGCGCTTTATCACATAAAATTAATGTATGATTTTACCCCAAATCAACTCTAAAGGTTCTCCCATAAAAGTGTACATTAGATTTGGCAGGAAAAAAGTGCATGTGCTTAACACCACAGAAAGGAGGAAAATAATTTACATTAAAATAGAAATGTTGATAAAAATCAAACTGGAAATAGATTTAATAAGAGGATGTAAACATCAGAGAGGAATAATTATGAACTGTATAGAAAAAACATCATGAAGATTCAAACCAGTGAAAATATGTCAAAGAAGTTGTAAGATTTCTGCAAGTGAACTGGAGCAACCGTTACACCTGCCCTTTGTTTTTGCTTTTGAGAAGGTATGGTAATTGAGGTCAAAGGTGAAATGCAACAACCATGTGATGATGTGTTCATGTTGAGGTGTGATCAGAGCATGGTTCTACATGTACTTCACGGCTTCAGCAGAAGATTTCTCTATGCTGAGATATCAATGACCATTTCTCTTAACATGCATCATCCTTTTCCTGGGTTGATGATACTTCCTGAGCTTGCTACAGACAGCATCCACAACATGAGTGATTGCATCTTCTAAAACCCTGTTTGGCAGCACCATGAATCTGACATACTACGAACAGTAAAATACAAGACATTCCATTCTACCAATACAGTGAAAGAGGACATGTAACTTTCACTCCGTGTGGAAGATCTGCCAACTCAATATTCACCATGGTGATGATGTCGATGAGTCCTTGGGGGTGTGATGACACGTCAGTCATGAGATGTGTTTATTTTTACACCCAGGTTATTCTCTGTTCGGTAGATTAGGAATTCCACTTCTGTACAACCATCACACAGGTTGACACAACACAGGGAAACGGGGCCCAATTCACGGCACTGCTTAACAGTCAGCAGAAAAGTCGTGCTTACTACAGCAGAAACTTTTGCGATCTGTAAGCAGTTTCATGGCAGTTCTTGGTGTGGTTGTGCTTTGTCAATATTTTAAGCAAATTTTTCATCCAAGGTACGCGTGCTTTTTACTGTGCTTACAGTCTCCATGAGATAGATGAGGCCTCTGTTAGCCTGACATTATCTGCTTAGCATTGCCGTGAAATTACGCCCTAGCCTGTGATACATTGCCATTAAAAGTTGGTGAAATTGCAAAGGCACAGACTATAAAACGTGAATGAATTTAGTGGCAATGAAAAGAGCCAGAATTGTCAAAATTGACAGTGTGTGAACAAGCAAAATGAAATGAAATGTTAGGATTTGCAAAAGTGAAAATTCTTGAACACTGCAAGAAAAGTGCAACTGAAGCGTTGTTAGTAAGACGCAAAAAGATGCCGAACTCAAAGTGTTTTCACTGTACCATTGAACAATTTTCTGTTCTTTGTTTTAAAGTAGAGGTTAGAACCGCTTGACTTATAATGGATTAAGTACATGGTAAGACACCTGTGTATCACATTGATGGTCTAGGGTTCACGTCCCCACCCAGCAGTGAAAACACCATGAGCTCGCTGCACTACCTACATGGCAGCTGCCTGTCTACCTACACCCATTTTCACACTGACAGAGACAGCTGTCTCTCGTATTCATCTCGGAGCTGGGATACAATCTCTGATTCCTCATCGGGATCACTACCTTCTCGGTCGGAAGGTGGAGGGGAGGAGTCATAGATCTCCCTGGAGACGCCTTTGTGTTAAGAAATGAGTGGCATTAGAAGCAGCATGAAGAGAGAGGGGAGAAGACAAAAGAGAGTGAAAAAGAATAAGCGTTTAATATTGATGCGCATGTTACAACAGCATACATGTGGAGTTATAACTCCCTGAAATGCTGCCGCACTGCATGGCCGATGGACATTGTTAACACTGTGAGAAAGCTTTGGACGTGCTGCTAGTTTTGGTTACTTCATTCATTTGCATTAAATGGGCACAAGACTATGCACAGGCACTACAAACAGCTAAAAATATCACTGTCAAATTTGCAGAACTCTTTTCTGTCCTGAGTAATGTGACTCCCAAGCAGTCGGGCTAACTTGTAAGTTTCTGTTGCAACTTGGAACCATGTTTCATTGAGACGTACCTTCCGGGGGTAACACGCTCTCCCATGAGTACCTGGACATGTCCACAGGCTGCGTTATCCAGCGATGGTTCTGCATATCGCGTAGTGTACATCGCCATTCTGGTTCTGGGTGGAGCAGCCATGCGATCAGCTGCATCAGATCTGTGTCAGGGAAAAGCAATTTCAAATTGCACAACAACTGTATGTTACACACTTAGGGGTAACCATAATTATCATAGGCATTTCTATTAATCTGAAGTCTGTAACATGGGGGGCCATTATTAACCCTGATTTTTAAATCAGCTGCCTTTGAGGTGCATGATGACAGTGAACAGATTTACTCAAGAAAGCCCCAAAATAATGAAGGGTCTCCTTAAGAAAATGGATTCATTTACAGAGCAAAATACAGCCAGACCATGTCAAGAGAAACAGCAATGCCATTTAAAAATTTATTGGCTACTTTGAGATTAACCAACCTCAATGGTCAATCTACCTCATCCCTGATCCCTGCCTTAAGTCCTGAGTATGTTAGGAGTCAAGGATAGCTGTACACATTCTCACCATTAGAAACTCCAAATGGAGGCTTGAGGATAGCCTGTATGATCTCTTCAGCATCATAGAAAGGATTCTCTTGGAAGATGAGAGTGTACAATGTGACACCAATGGCCCACAGCTCCAACTCGGGACCTTTGTATCTGAAAATGAGCAAAGATACCAGTTTCTTGGGACAATGAACTGACCACCGTCACGAAAGTGTCGACAGAAATTCTACAGGAAAGGTCTCCTATTAAACATAAAAAAAGGCACAATCTTTCAACCATATGCTGCCGGGTCTAACTGAAGTTGCATGACGAGTTCCCGGGGGATTTTCAAGATTTTCCATTTTCAAAATTCTTCAAACATTCATAACTTCATTTACTGAACTTTTACAACCCACACGAATGACTGTTTGGTGGCTACTCTAATGTGATAGGCAACATTTATTGACACCCGAGTATTTCAACCAGGCCTGCTGCCTTGTAAAGAGAGCCCAGATTGTGCAGTGCTGCGTAAATTTCTTTTGTTCCCAAAACTGGCCCAGTGCACTTCTGGCATCTTTTCAAATGCGGCCAGATTAGCATGCAGCGGTATTGTATCGCTCATCGCTGGAGTGCTTTTGTCCCCGGCTGTAATCCACTTGCACTGAATGCCACACTAACAGCGGTGTACTGTTTCAATACAATGACAGATTACCTCCACTATTGACAACTGAAAGAATGTTGGCAATTCCCAGCAGCCCTGTCTTTTGATCCCATGCTTCACTGAAGCAAAGGATTCATAACACTGTCAGATAATCCTGACCTGTTGCTTGAGGTTTGAACGATGGAAATCCAAGACTCACTTGTTTCCCAGGAGCACCTCAGGAGAGCAGTACTCCAGCGTCCCACAGAAGGTGCCAAACAGCTTCCCCGGTTTCATGTAAGCTGCCGAACCAAAGTCAATCAGTTTGATGTGGAATCGCTCATCTAGGATCAAGTTCTCGTCTTTGATGTCTCGATGAAGAATGCTATTGTCGTGGAGATAGGAGACAGCTGAAACCACCTGAGGGAAGTGAAAGAACTCAA